TTATGGTAACCAGTCAACTACAGATCAAGACTTCTCACTGACTCGAACCTCTCGCCAGCTTGCCGGAATCAGAATTCCTTGGATTTCCGTCAAGCCTTTATTGACCATCTATTACTTAAGCCTCGGTAACTCGCACTTTCGCTAACTGAAAGCATGTTGTTTCCCTTTAGGTCATTTTCTTCACAGATCTAAGAAGAAGTCAAACCATGTTGAGACAATTAAGGGCGAGTCAAAACAAATTGTACACGTAAATTAAAAAAAGCCTCATTCCTACTTAGTTGCGCAGGTATTCAATTTCGCGATTTTAGCAACACAGAAGTTTGCGGGATTTTATTTTTGGTTAATATGGAAATAGGAAATTAAATTTTGCGATTCAAACGTTCCCAACATCAGTTTATTTATCAAAATGTCTTAACTTTAGACTGCACGAAAGATAATCTGGAGAATTTTAAACCAATCTGGTGATCAAAATGAAGACGACAGCTACATTCTTTACTCCACGTGCGAAATCTTTAAATTACAAATTAACTTCCTTTCACGACAGAAAATACAAAACAGAACCTACCAGTATGACCAGTTAAATAACCTGTGTATTTGTCGATACATATCATCTATGTGTTGCTGTTTTTTCAGTCACGGTGATTTGAGTTTTCTACACGGCTTCGCGTGTTTGAATCTGCGAGGACTTTACTTCGCAGGTCTTCGTTTTCACGATTTGTTTTATTTACGATCCCGAAAAACGCGAATTAAGTCCCCGCGAAATTCAGTACCAATAACTAATAAACTTGGCGCAGTGCTCTCTGGTTTTAAAGGTGACGAATTCGAGAATTAGTTCCCCCCCCCCCCCGATTATGTTGCTGCTCACTCCGGCTTCTCTTGCTGCGCAGCAATTGGCGAAAGCGTTGAAAAAACTCCGAGCTTGGTCAAGGCAAGATCTCCATGACTCAATATTACTTCTAATTGACAGAGGAAAGAATCAATGGCATAACAAACTACAAATCTGAAGAGAGTTGAGGAGACTAGAACTTGGTTTATATCACTTTTGTTTACCTTGTTCATCAACCAATAATGGATTGTAAATTTAAACAGGCATTGGGGAAGAAAACTAATATGTATTTAGATTTTGGTTCAGTGCTTCATCTCAATGATGACACCTTATCTGTAAGAAAAGAAAGACATGTTGCCAGTGAGAAATGTATTGCAATGATCACCTGAAATCTATCAATCAGCCATTCACTGATTTGCTTCCTTGTTCCATAATGATTCAGTAAGTCAACCACGTGGTTAGTCACTTATTCAGGATACAATCTGTTAGTTTGATTATCAGTCGACAAGTTGGTCAATCAGTAGTATCCCAGTCAATCAATCTGTTGACAAGTCTAACAATTAGTCAATCAATCCATGCAACACCAGGGCTTTTTTTTACAAAATTCTGTCCTTGGATCATTTGGAATTTTTAACCAGGAAAAGAAATTGCTAAGAGAAACAATACATGTGTACCTTAAGGTTGTTACCCAGAAAATAAAATTTGAATGAAACAATTTCGCCCAAAAGTCTTAGAATTTTGTCAGAACTGTTGATGACCACATGTGCATCACAAGTGACATCAAAATTAAAAGATAAATTAAGTTCATTCAATTAATTAATTATTTCTGTTCCTGGAAAATGGCTTTGGATGCTGGCACTGGGGACTTTGACTTTGATCCACTTGACATTCCTTTCTGCATATCATCTGTAATTATATGACATAAAGTGTACATATTAACAGCTTTTGTTGTCAATTATTAATAATATGTAAATTATATTTCATTCCAATCATTCAACCTTTTCTATTTACTTCCACAAATTAACAAACGATTATTTTTTAAAGTGGATCATGGTAAATAGTGGGGATATTAACTGAGCTGACTTGGGTGGAAAGGTAAACATGCATCAATCTTTCCTTTTGTTTTCAGTTTTGGTATCAAAAAGCTGTAACAATGTTTTATTCAATCAACACAAATACATGTAAATTAAAAAATAACACTCCTTTGATTTTACAAAATCATAGATTGATTAAAATTAATTACCAATAATGTAATTGTAATGTTAAATTGTGAACCAGAAAGCCAAGTCAACCGAAGATTTCTTACCTGACCCAATGCATTTTAAGTTCCAGGTGACATCAGGGAATTAAGTAAAGAAAAAATATATAAATTTACAATGAGGGAAAAGTTAGTTAAACAGAACTAACCGTACATTGTAGGGGAAGGTTGCTCACAGATGATAACATTTGACTTGCTTCAGAAATGCATTAATATCCTTAAGTTTTTAAGGAAACTGGAAGGTCATTCCAAATGTTGATTGCCACGAAAGAAATTGCTTTCCCACAATACTTCACACTTAGGGCTTGTAGAGATTCTGTTTAGCTCCATATCTAGTGTTGCAGCCATGTATGTTACCAGCATATTGGAACACATCAAAGACTTTAGGTAGAAAGCTTTTACACCATAAATGCAAGAATTTTAGACCTTGAGTTGTTGAATGTTGTCAAATATTATGAAGCCTTGCAAATTAATCAAGGGTTGGGCACTCTCTGTTTGACTTCATCAGACGTTGGAACAAAGAAAACTAATCTCAAATTGCATAATGTTATTTTCACCAACATTACAGAGAAAATTTATTGTCTTTAAAAGTACAAGTACAACATAAGCTTATTGCATTAACTAGCAAACCAAAATATTACTTACATTGGGAAATCAGAAAACAAATTGCTGAAAAGATTGCTGTATGATGAGCAGACTCATTTACCCATGGAATAAATATGGTCAACACTTCATTTAATGCAAGTACCACGTTTGAAATGTTATAATAGTAATATTATTTATCAAATAACCAAGTGAGCACATAGATCAATTCAAAGCTTGAACATGCCCTGGGCAAGCCCCCCTCCCCCCAGCAAACCACTGGCAATTGCCTACACTCTGTCTGACTTCAGAAGATACAGCCATGCACACTGCCCCAAATAGATACATGTATATCAGTATCTCCACTGCATGTCTATATTTGATACTGCTATCAACACTGTCTATATATACAGCTATCTATTGTATATCTTAAACACAAACAGTTAACTGCAGTGTCTACACTCACTACCTACCGTTATCTACTCTGTTGTCTTCGGAGGATAGAACCATTAACACTGCCTGTTTATGCTAGATTCACCAGTCTTGAATGCTTTCTTCAGTAAATAGTATACTGCAGTTACAGATATCTACTCAGTCTATAGTATATATAGATAGAACCATCTAAAAGCAATTAAGCTCATGGCTACAAAATATTTTAATTTCATGCGTTGAGCTTAAACGGGTTCCTTACCGTTAGATTTTCCTTATTTTTTGGGTTCCCTGTTCATGTTAAAGCTGTTTTCCATATTTGGTATTGCACACGTGGTTTGTTGTTTTGTGGATTAATAAATCAGTTGTACCGCCATCTTGGTCTGGTTTACTTGTATTCGGAATACATAACGCTTACAATGCTTAAAAATAAAATAAACTGAAAAAACTCCTTTCAAGTTCTACTAAAAAAGGAAAAGAAAATTGTGTAAAACCAAACAGCCTCAAGAAATACCTTAACTAATTGCTTGCAAGCCTTTGTCCACGTCTTCCAGATATTTCTGAGTACTTCGGTGTGTGAGTTTACATCAACTTTCGCGATTTTTTTGTTTAGCGGCCTCTGTCACCCTTCCCATTATGTTCGAAGGAAAGAACCATAAAATAGTATACAAGATTTTAAAGCCAAGCGACGCTGTTTTCTCTCAGACGGTCACGCCAAAGGATGGTGTTGTTTCCCTTAACCATATTCTGTCACCATATCAAGTAGATCGTTCGACTGAGATGATCCTAATCTTCTCTCCAATATCCTAGACCTCGTTACCAGGGGCCTCTCGGTTTCCTTAGAGAGGGCAATCAACCTTCTGGGCGTACATTTGCCTTTCCGGCCTAAATGTGTGAAGAATCGTTTTGTATATACACCAAAATGACTGCACAATGATCAAATCGAGTGACCATGAGAAACAGAACGACGTAACAGATGAAGTGCATTCTGTCTGAATGATAATAAGAGGGAAAAAAATCCCGACGATGATTGCATTGCTAAAAAATTCATTTATCAAAAAAATTCTTATTCGCTCAGAGATCATTACGCTTTTACTTCGAGTTATTTTTTTTCTCAGTCATTGTCAATAATCTCAAACACTGGAAAATACCAAAGATTTTTAGTGCTTCAGCATCAGTCCATGTGATCTAGTGATCGCCGGACAATTGGAGACTGATTTTTCTTTTAGGAAATTGTGGGAGCGCAGTCGGGAGTATAAATATTGCAACCGGAAAGAAATTGTTTCCTAAACTAGTCAACTACCAACCGTGCGATAGCAGATATACACATATAAAGACATATTAAAAGTTTTTCATCGCACAGGAGTTAAAGTGTTACGTGACCAAATCATTTTTGCTTGACAGCTTCCTGGCCGCCGTTTTAAATATACTAGGCCCTCTGGACGGAGATCGTTGGCCTGCGAGCGGTGAAGAAGACCAGGGACAAGATGAGTTTTCATAAATTAAAGAATGGAGGTCGAAAAAGACTGGAAAGAAGACGATCGACAACTCGTTTTCACCGTCTTCGCGCCATCGAAATTTCCAAACTTTGTTATACTGACAATTCCATAGATCGGCGAAAGCTTGGAATAAAAAAAGAAATACAAAAGGCTCCAGGTCTCAATCGAATCGTTCATTTTATCCGTAAAGAGTGTAGCACCTATTTCCCCTTACCCTATCCCCAAATCAAACAACAAAGTCGTGAAAGAGAGAAATCATCATCAAGTTAAGAATATCCTGATTTTTGAGCATAATCTCCTGTCTTTACCAGAGAAGATGCATAGAAAACACTACGGCATATGCATGCTAATGTCAGGTGGCAACAGGTTGAGAGTGAAAAGTACCTTTATGAAGTTTGGTCACAAATCACCATATTTCATCAATAAAACTCTTGAGGTATTCCTTTTTTGTTGATAGTGCTGAGAGAGGTTAAAAAACTCTTTCGATGCTTTAAATGTGAGGACATTTACATTTTTTATTTGCCAACTAAGGAGTCAAATTAGACTGAGGAAGTACGAGGTTAGCCTAACAGATTAAGGACATTAAGCTCAAATATAGATAATAATTGGCTCTCTGCATGCTACCATTTCCAATTAAGTTACTGCACGTCCAAGTAATTATCACAGATGGTTTTTTGGGAATGTTAACTTGTTTCTTTCTTTCTGTCAGTTTACGATAGTTCAACAAGCGTCATGTGGTCTCACGACTTCTGGGTATGTCACGTGATTCCATGCAGTCAATATTAGGGGGCTTATTTGGTCTTGACAAGTTAAGTCTTCCCCTCGAAAAATATAGGGAGGAAACGACGATGACACATTTCTAAAGGTATTCAGCGCCCTTCAAATTAGTTTAACCCCTTAGTTTGAGTGCATGGTGATGTGAGTTGAGGCGTTGAAATTTCAATATTTGACGAAATAAACTCCATGTTGCCGCTGGTGAAGACTGATTGTAAACAATTCTACAGAGGTTTACAACACTCAATTTCCATCTAAACACTAAGAAGTTGACAGTTCTTTAATTTGTAACCGATCATTATTGTAAGAAGAAGTCGCACACTTTATGAAAACGCTCAAAGATGGCCGCCTATCTGAGGAATATAGAAAGATGGGACACAACCAATCAGATGCGAGCATTATGTAATCCTCTTATTTGATTGGCTGTATCCCTTAGTACCCCCTATTACTACTTGAGATATATGTTAAGGATATATCATGAGCTTGTCCAACAATCGAGATAAATAACTCTCACTTGGCCTTTCTTTATTCAGAAATTTCCCGAGTGAGCACACTTTAAGGGAGTTTGATTGTAGCACATAATGTGTATAAAACCAACTGTAAACTATCGCTTATCAACACTATTGACTTTACACTGCACGTATTGTTTGAATGATTACATAAAATGAGAAAGTAGTATGAATTCTGGATCAGCCTTAAGAGTATATGGTTAGTGCGCAAAGTATTTGTAATTTACGCAAACTGATCTGAATGCGATCTGTTTCATCTAAAATATTGACACCCAAACGAACGAAAGCGATTGAATGCAACTAGAATAGCATTAATACTTTTCTTTCTACAATATCAACGTGATCTCCAGAAAAAAGAGAATACATTTAGTCATAAGAAAAGTGATATCTTGATTTAACCCTACATTCTCCCAAATAATTTGCAAGACCTGTATAGTAACTGAACAAGAGAATAGTTGACCAGACATTTAAAGTCGGAGAGTTATATAAAGCTAAGTAACTTATAAACCATAATGCGTGGTTTCCATACCATCCTTCTATATTCTTTAAAAGTAAATTACATTTTTAGTTTAACAAGATATAACACAGCTATATGAAATTTGGTTATATCAACTGAGTTGATACTGTAAATTGGCCACCCTATAGAGTTTATTTCTAAGCCGACGCTTCTAGCGTTAGCCCTTCGTCAGAGCTATAAATACATAGCTACAGATATATACTTCGTTACAGTTATAGAAGGATATAGTTTGCAAGAACAATTTGAAATGTATAAAAAAAATGCCGAGGTAAAATTATCTAGATCCATTGCACCTAGGCTGATAAAGCGTTTTCGTACAATTACTGAGATGATTACAATCTTCTTTATTTTCCTCCCGCCATTCAAATTAATGAGTAGTGACAAGCAGGGAATAATGAAATTAGAGCTGCATGGCTTAAACTAATCAACTCCATGTTCCATTAAAGCGCGTGCATTTATCTTATCACTTGAGGACTTAATTCATTACACAGTCAGACGACTCTCCTTTTTCCTTCAAAGTCAGTGCTAAATTTCTCAGTTCTAACAAGATCCTCTTTTGTTCGTCAAGTTGCTCCTGAAGGCCTTCAATTGTTACTCTACTGAAACGGTCTCTGTCACGATGGCACATCTAAAACGTGCGGAAATCGTACGTGTCAGCGCAGTTTTAAAAATGTAAGGAAAATTTATAAAATTTAAGGAAAAAAACCAAGATATTGATGATCATCATAGTTGTTGGCTATGATCTCGTTTGTGCGTAAATTATATATCAATAAAATGAAGTGAGATCCACGCGCTCTTTGCCTGGTCATACCGTATCCGTCGATCAGGGCACAGACAAGCATAGCTTAATATATTTTGTTGAACAGGGCGAATCGTTTTGTAAATGTGAAAGTGTAGTGCGATCGTCCAAGTGAGTGTAGTCCTGAGAAGAACTGTTGTCGGTGGCGGTGACTGACGTTTCGACAACCTGAGCGGAAGTCATCATCAGACTGAGTCAAGAGTTTCGTAAGTGTTCCCAAACATTTAAAAAGTAACATAGACTGGAACGAAATTATAGTGGTCTTTTCAACACTTGAAACGACAAAGTTTTTCCTTCGGATGATGGAAATTGATTCCAGAATCTGAGAGCTACCACAGAAAGCGGAAAGAGAGCTCCCTCGCCCACATGCTCTAATTTTGGCCGGGGGAAAAATATGCCGAGCATGCCTAGGAGTGACATATTAGCAGATCACCAACGAAGCCAAACCATTTACAGCTTAAACTTTTAGCCCATCACTCCCCCCTCTCCCTTTCGAACATACCTTTGTGAGCACTGTAATGCCTTTAGACCCCAATGAGATGAAAGGAATCAGTTTTGAGGTACACTTCATCCAACACCGCCCTATTTCTCTCCCGTTCAAGGAGAACATCACAGAGATTTTGCCCTCGAGGTTACTTTCAAAATTAACTTCGCAGGCGATAAGATCGCCGCGATAAGCCATGGCTCCTAAGTCATCAACGTAAGATATTTAGTACATAGCAAAAAGAAAACAATTAAACTAAACATAACGTATCCAATAGTGTCGCAACATTGTGTGAAATTGAACTTTTACCTTTGTTGCTCCGGCCATCTCGATTAATGACCAACCTCTCGGTTCATCCCAAGAAAAAGCCACTTAATCTATCTAGTTCTATTTATACAAGGAGTGCTGTCGACATCAATGATCCAAGCAACGTCATTTATTGACATGAATTTCTTTGGCCTCTAGTGTATTATTTGTGGAGACCTCAATCAGAATACATAATACATATATGATCATGCACGTCAGAATAATTACATCGAGGGGTCCATCACGATTAATAACACAAAAGACTCTACGCATCGTCTGATAGGTCAATCCAGTTTCCGAGCGGATGCTTTATCAGGTTATAGAGCCCGGCCTAGTTTTGTCATAAAAGCAATTGAACGCACTGTTTCTGTGTTCTATAGTGTGATAAAGCCACGCGCGATGTTGGGAGATCAAGAGGAAAGCTTATATAACACAAGCCGAAGGCACCTTTGCGAGTCCGACCCCGGCAGTAAAACAAGTTTGTCAAAGTGTGGGGCGATCATCCGAGTGAGTGTAGTCCTGAGAAGAACTGTTGTTCGGTGGCGGTGATTGACGTTTCGCCAACCTGTGAGGAAGTCATCATCGGAGTCAGTTGTTGTTAGTATATACTAAAACAGTGGATAGCGTTGAAGGCGCGCTCTGATTGGCTAGTCAAACTCCGAATATCCTTTGCTATTTACCTCCGAGCAACTCGGGAAAAAATGGCGTCCCGGTTTGCATCCGTGACAAGCGTAAAAATCACTCAAATCCATTTTGTGGTGGTGTATATTATCTCACTGTTTTAGCGTGTACTAAAACAACTATTCACCGAAGTGGAGGTGGTTAGTGGTGGATATTTACCGAGCCGCGAAGCGGCTCGGTAAATATCCACCACTAACCACCTCCACTTCGGTGAATAGTTGTTAATTAGTCGAATGTTCTTAGTCCAGTTCGTGTGAATGATTTGTCAGTTTTACCGTAATGTTATTGGTTGTAAGACTCAAGTGGCGTAACTCGGTCGTGATTGGTCAGTTTCGATATGCTGGTAAAGTTAGGTCATTTTATTCAGTTAGTTTGTAATGTTAATGTCGTGAATGATTCGTTTGTATGGTGCCAGTAGTACTTGACACCAGGCTGTTCTAAGTTAGTAAACCGGCTTTCCAGATCAGTCGTTGAAAGTAGTTGTTGCTGTGAGTTAGGCATTGCGTAGACTTCCAGTCAAAAGTGTGATTCGTAATTCGATGATGTTCAGCAATGTGATTGTTGACATTACCTTTCCTCGTCACCCGTTTGTGTTCAGTCAGTCTTGTTACGAGGTTTCTGCCAGTCGCTCTGACGTAGTAGGGGTGGCAGTCGGAGCAATTGATCTTGTAAATCGCTCCCTGCCTGTTCCTCGGTTCGTCTCTTTAACGTTTGTAACTGTCGCAGTGTGGTCATGATCGTGGGCGACACGGATATTGAGGAGTTGTAGGATGCGCAAGATGTTCTCAGACATGCCTTTTATGTACAGTATGGTCGCAGTAGTTGTAGGAGTTGCGGCGTCGTTTCTTTCAGTAGTAGCAGTAGGTCGGTGAGTGTTTCGTCGAATGAAGTCGTCGTTATAGTTGTTCTTTGAAAAAAACACGGTCAAGGTATTTGTTCTCATTGGATAAGCTGTCTGTCGTGTTGGATACTAGTTGCGCTCGTCGTGTTAGAGTCCTGATAGTTGTGGCTTAGTGTGATGTAGGGTTGTAGGATGACTCGTCTATTAATCTGTCGGTAGATGTCGGTATGTCACCTTTACCAGTTCGCCTACAAAGCGTGCAACTCGTTGTCTTAAACTAGTGTTTCCCTAGTGTCTGTACATTTTAAATAGTACTTTATTCTCATCATATCTGTAATTTTAAGCGATTTTAGTTTATGTCGTATTTTACCGCCGAATATATTCATATTTGTTTTATATTTTTTGTAAAGCGCACGCGATCATTATGTCATGTAGCTTGCGCTATACAAGTTAACACATTATTCAATTATTATCAATACGATATAACATATTCTGTTGAAATCACAATATAAAGGGTGTAACAAACGCTCGTGCCCTTCTTTGAACATAAAGAAAAAAAATTGCTCCCTGAACCGTCCGCCTTATGAAACCTTTCAAGTTCATGGCCCATCTTTATACGTTTTGGACAATTTCAGTCGCCTAACATGTCCCTTCGGGGCTTTTTTGGAATTTTTTTTTAAGGCGCTGTAGCACAGAATGAACCAGCTCTTATAGGGTAACGGGGAAAGCTTAAGAATTAGTGGACCAATCCTTTTTTTCTCTAAAAATGGTTAAGTTTCTATGGCACCACGTTTGAGTAGGCTTAGCAGTAAGCCAGTGCTCCACATTGTAAAAAGGTCATTCTCCTACTGAAGCTAAAAAAAATTCTTTTCACGGATTCTTCTGAAGTAGATCTACGTCTAAGTAAAGGCTTGTCTTCCTTTTTACGTGTATTGTTAGTGTGATAGTTAGATGTTGACGTTTTGCGTTGTGGAAAGTGAAGGTTTTTCATGCCATGGCCTATCATTTCACCCCGTTCTTGGTTTGTCCTCAAAATCTACACGACGTAACCATTTTTAACTCGGACAATGACGTAGTCATTAATCCAAGATATAGATATGGATGGAACATTTACTCTCTCCCTCCTTCGATTCCTGTTAACTTTTTCTTAATCCGCTAACCGGTAAAATAAAGCGTTAGCAGTCGCATACGCCCAGGTCGAAAAAGGTTTATCCACAAAGTCATTTATTTCAGGGGGCAATGTTTCTTATTCATGGATCATTTCTATTCGGTCGACAGCGTATTAATTTTTGGCTTGAAGTTCTCACTGATAAATCCTTTCAATGCATTCAATGGAAGTAGCGCCCGCCTTTCAATGACTGACCAGAGGTTAACATCAGGACACATACAAGTCGCATTCAGGCTACGATTGTAGGGGAAAGACTTCAACGTTCTTCCTCCTCGATTCGATTGTAAGGGAAAGTCGTCATCGTTTTTCCTTCGCGATCCTATCCGATTTGAAATTACAAACATCGTATACCGTAAGGTTTGAGATCACCGTAACATCGCAATACGAGTTGCTCTTTACCGCAATATCGCATTAAAAAAATGGCCAACACCGCAAAAACCTCAAACCTCGATGTCCCCCTCTAGTTTGATAGTCACACTCGTATGTCGCTATGCCCAGCGTTTCGTCACGAAAAAAAATTACATGTTGCTCACAACATAATATGATTTCGACAGAGAAGGAATATGTTCTGTCGTCAGAAAAAGAGTTGAAAGATTTGGGGACGAACTCGCTTTGATTAAGGGGGAGAACTCGCAAAAGTGGAAGGGGCAAACTCAATTGCAAAGGGGCGAAACCTCCGTAAACCTTGTACCAGATATGAGACACCTGTCCTTAAAGTAAACCATACCTTCGACTTCTCTTCCCTTCTTACGGCAGCCAGTTTCAAATATTTTCCCATGGTATACGTGATATCCGACTGTTCCGCTATCCCAACCAGGCATTGTGTGACAATTGTCCACAGCATCGTAAGACTCACACACAGCACCTAACGCTATAATTCGCCTCTTTCCAGTCTCCTGAATAAGCACCTGCAAACAATGACAGCCTTGTCTTTTTATAATAGAGTTACCCCTAAGTCAACTCTTTCAAAACAAGTGTAACAGTTCTCCAAAATAGAACGAATAAGTCCAAGGTTACTGTCAAGAAAATCTGGACAAGATTATCAAAATTTCGTTTTGTTTTTGCTCTTCAGTTAGAGAAAGCAGTTAAGTTTAATTTGCCGGAACGCGAAATACAGCTGAAAGAATGTTTCAGGGTAACCTGTACCGAAGAGCGAAAGGTGTCCAGCAGAGTGTTGACGTTTTCCGCGGGCTTTCGTCCGGGATCTCGATTTGCATATTTTGTTCAGATCGCGTCTTGCACTGCACTAACGGGGAATTTCTAGCATATTTCGCAAAACGTTGTGAGAGAGTCGGTATCATGTATCTTTTAGGGTACCTCGATCGATGTATCGACCGATGCATCGGTTGATATATCGATCAATACTCGACTGACACGCGACCGATGTGTCGATCGACTGTCGCCCGAGAGTTGACCGAGGAATAGGACGAGCTTCCACTGATGTCGGCCGAAACATCGACTGTGACCACGTCAGTAGTTTATCGGTCGACTACCGATGACATATCGGTCAACTATCGGCGGGATGTCGGTCGTGGATCATTCGATAGTCGAGCGAAACTCGACCGATAACGTCAACGTCAACGTGCACACTGCGGATATTTTAGTGCTTTTATTATCGCTACTCGACCAACGATCGATAGACACTCAATCGAGTAACGAGCGACGTACTGCGCAACATTTACGAAGGCAAAAAGTAGGTTTTCATGTTTTTTTATTTTCTCTCAAGGTTTCTTTTCATTTATTTTCAGTTACCTCACTTGAGAAACCATTTGGCGGGTCTGTTCAAAATATTTTGAAAGGTACTTATACCTAGTTTTTTTTCCTACTCTTTTCGACCATTATTTCAATCGATATGTGGATTGAGTTGCGGCCGATATATCAGTCGGCTAACGACGGAACGTCGATCAAGTGTCCGTGAAATAACGGTGAAGTGTCGGTCATGTATCGGTAACTTTTCATTGAGTGGCAGTCGATGGTCTGTATCGGTAGACCAGCGGTCGACAGTCGATCGACATGTCGGTCGCATGTCGTTCAAAACGTCCAAGAAAGGAAAAGTTGAGAGAGCTCGAGCCAAAGAAATCGAAGTTAAGTTTTCCTTTTTCCCTAGCTCGCTTTGCCCACTTTTCCTTCTGCTTTTTCCAATACATTTTGGACTTCTTTCGATTCGTTTTCCCCGTTTCGCAAAATGACATATTCCGCGAATTTCAAAGGAGTTCTTTGTCAAGAGACTTGCCAGGGGTTCGATGTTGCGTTTCATTGAACGGCGGTATGATCGCATTGACACGCGCGAAAAATGAGGTGCGAAAAGTGTGAATTTCTTTGGAGGCCAAAAACTCGAAGTTTCAAATTACTCGAGTTACCTTAACCTTTTAACGAATTGATAGGGTGTGTAGATTTGTTGAATTTTTTTAAGATATTACCACACAAAAGTGTGTGAGGCTTAAATGAAATTCCAAATATTTCTCTCATAACGTCCCGAGCGTGACAACAACCGAAATGTTTTCTATCGTCGAACTTCAAAATGGATCTCTCAGGAATCCATTGGAACATGAAAAAAGCATCAGACCCTTTGTTAGCCTATGAACTGCTGAGTGATAATGTTTAGTTTGTTTCGAGGTACGCGGAAATGCTGAGGCTGGTAATTCAGTTAAGCAAAGCAAGCAAACACCATCAGTTATGTGTTGAAAGGCTCGCACGCGCCTACTGAAACAAAAACTGTGAAAAATTATGTTATTTTCGTAATTTGTACTTTATAATCTTTACAGTGATATATAGTTTTGCATGATTTCTTCAGAAGAAGTGCACGTAGGATGATTTTTCCAGAGGGCACTACATTTTGTTGACAGTAACCTTAAGAGCGCCTATAAAAGAGAAGTCATTGGAAACTGGGCTTTAAAGAGGAAGAAAGAAAAAAGAGATATACCTATCTTGCACATCCAGAGAGATTATCATGGAGCAGGAGGTATGTGATTTATATATATGTTGTTCGCGATAATTCTCTTCGTATGACAGAAGAGCTTACAAGGGGAGGGGAGGGAAGCCATACAATAAATTAAGTATGTAGAAATGAATGAAAAAATGTATGCATGTATATAAAATTCAAAACCTCACCTCAAATCGCGGTGTCTCTGGTGTAAAGGAAGATTTGAATTTGGCACTGTGAATGTGTTTAGGAATTCCTATTTTGCATGTATTGCAGAAATCAGGTCCCTTGTAAGTTAGGAGGCAGCCATCGACAGCAATTCCCGGCGAATCATACCACGCCTTTAAATGACAATCAAATAAAGTATTAGTTACATGAGAGACTTGTACTCAGTAATTTATCCCATTTATCTTTTAATTTGCCCAAGAGAAAGGATTGTTACGTAAATTGAAAAGATAACAAAGGTACTTCCTGGTGTAGCAAGATCTAAAGAGTATTTTAGGGGAACATCTTATTTAAGGTGTGAATGTGGGCCTGAAAAACACTCACTCTTTGGCCAGACGTAAGTTCCTCCTCCTTGTTTCCACGCGGTCGAAATACTTGCCGAACTATCTGATCGGTCATTTTCCGACCTCCTTCATTTACTTGCACCAAGTAATTTATCTTTTTATCCTCTAAATAAAGAGAGGAAGCCACCTATCAACTTGGCCTTTTTTGAATCATGTTAAGAAAATCCTTACAATACACTTCTGTTTTCATTGTAAAGGTACTCACATGATTTCGATGTCATTTAGGATATTGCAGCATGAAAAGCTAACCACTGCTACTCGAGCCCGTAGGGAGAGTACATTTTTAGTCTCATTTGATTACTTGTTAATGATATACATGCAAAAATTTAGCTCTGCTTCTCTCTCAGCGGTGTCTATTTGGTGTCGTGGCTCAGTGGTTCGGCTGCGGAGTAGTCGGGGTTTTCGCGCAAGAACTAGCTTTGACCTTTTAAACTTTCTGTCACGAATAATCGAGCGTTTGCTCTCGTAATCTTTCCCGTCTTTCGTGCGAATTATTCAATAGTAAACCCCTCAATAATTTTTCTCAGGGCCTCCGGTTCGCACTTTTCCATACTTTTGTCATAGTTGTCTTTGATAGACAAAGACATTTCTAGACTGAAGCAAGTTGTTTGTATTCTGTTGGTTTTTTTCGTTCTTAAAACTCTCATTCAAACTCTGAATTAACGTTTGAAAAGTTTTGATTTTCTCCTGCTAATAAACGTCAACTTTTTGCACTCAATTTCAACTTCCTGCAATGGATTGAATAAATTGACGTGTTCTAAGCCAATATACATGCTGAAATTTTTGCATGCATATTATCCTTATCTGTAATAATTTGAATTTGTTTAGAAATATTGATTCAATGTGGCCTTGCAAGTTCCAATTGAACAACATCTCTTTTGCGCCTTCTTTTATTTTAGGACCGTGTCATAGATGTGTGAGCCTATCTACAATTTTAGCATATCGCCCTACCTGAAGAAAGTTTCTCTCCTTTTTTTCACTTTCGATTTCGCCTTTCCTCTCCCCCTTTGTACTATTGTGGTATTAACGCGTAACGCGCGTGATTTAACAAATTAACCAATCGCGTCATAGAACTTTGACCTTAACAGTGGAAGTGACGTGGACATTTCTAACGCGTATCTTAGTTGTTTTCGCTTTTCGGAGTTTAGTTTTTGATTGTTGTTTTTGAGATTTCGTTCACGCTTACTTGGAATTTTTACGAAATGAAAGTACTTTTACTCAAACCGAATGTTGTGATCATTTTAATTACATATTTATACGGACTTCGGACTCTAGTTTATTTTATTTATTTTTTTTTTTTGCTATTGGATTTTTTACACTACCTGTGAGGGGAAATTCATAACCGAACTTCTGGAAGTAAATACTTTCTAGTTTCTTCACCACTTTATCCAGAGCTTCACTCTGTTGAATTAGAGAAAGATCAAATCAAAAGTGAGGTAAAATCCCTGAGCAGACGTGGATGATATCAACAACAGTGGCTTCTGTCAAAAACTCAAAAACAAAGATAACAACAGCGTTACCAGATTACCTGTCCTTCCTCATCCAAAGCAGGACTGTCAAAACATGTTTTATACGAACGCTTCCGAAGGAGGTTCCAGAGCACTTTTAATGGGACAGAAAAAATGTTAAAGGGCACTGGTATCGGATGATAAGTGCTGTAAGTCCGTACAATAATGGCTCTCTTGAAAGACCACTCCTGGAGTGAATTATTCTAATCATGGAGAGGCAAACAGGAACTTTTAAAACACCCTCTAAGGACGTACCAGTTAATTAGGACAATAGGCGCCACCCCTTTAGCAGAAGAAAAACAATGACATATAACACAAGAAACAGTACTCAACATCATTTTCATCCCTAAAAAAACTCCTTCTTAAAGTTTCAGCTCGAAACTACGAATCAAATTTTGTAGACAGATTGCACAAAGAGAATATCTTGTTCACGGGAGCCTTGAGCTGCTCCTCTGGGATTGACCAATGCTCAGGCAGAGAAACTACAAGGATGTAACATGGGACCTTTATACCTAGTTGGATTTAAATATTGGTAGCCAAAATACATTTTTGTGTGATCACAGAAGCTTATCAACTTTACGAAAAATGTATCTCAGTGATGTCTTATGCCAAAAAGAGTCCAAGTTTACTGTCGAGAACTTCTCTCATTTTCTTCTGAATTATTAAAAGGATTTGTTGCAAAAGTAGAAGGACTTTTTGGTACCTGAACCTGTTGATAGGTATTGGAGACTAAAGCAATCATCATGTTAACGAGTAGAATAACTGCCATGATTAAGAAGACACTGTACAGCAGATGAATGAGAGAAACGGAAGGAATGTCAACGGAATTTAACTTATCCAGGTCAGCTATACCAAGTAAAGACCAGCTTAGGTGTTTCGCCATGTTCCACCAGCTGAAAAACAGTTTCAAAAGCAACGTGTTAGATCAAATAACCAGTCAGTTTTTTTTTTTTTTTTCAATCGAAAGCATAATGATCGCTATAGCCGTTTCCGAACACCCACTTTTTAAAAGCAATCGTGTCACTCCTCCTTCATGGATCATCGAATTAGAAAATTTTCTTTCGAAAATACTGGCCAGGTTCATTACGTCAGACACAACCAGATTTGTGTCTTAGTATTCAAAATAATGCAAAATAGCCTTAGACGCGAGGGATACAACTTATATGTGCACGATCCTCGCAGTAAAGCAGTATTTAAGCAATTAGGGATACTACTAGTAAACAAAATATGAACGATGAATTCTGGCATTTTTACAGATCAAAAACCGTGAGATGCTTCTTTTAACAAGGTAAACTGAAGAGCTGGTTTCTTATGCAGGTTTTGGGAAGCGAAATCACATAAATAAGTCGCGAAGCTGCGAGAAGAATGGGAGGCAAAGAAAGTTACTTTAGACGCAGCTCGGTCTCTTGTTATGTAACCTCTATTGCCATGGAAAGTAACGGCGTCTTCCTTGCGAATTTTCGTGGCGAAAAACGGAAAAGTTTGGCGAAGCTAAGCCAGTACTTGTAATATGCGATTTCTTTTACACTTTTTCCGTCTCGGGAGATCTTAATTCGCCTTTCCCTCAGGAAGACAGATAGCTGTTAATCACTGTTAAACAAAAGTGAAACCTATTTGACGTACTGGGTGGCTGACTTTTTTTTGCCTCACAATTTCAGCTTGCAACCCTGTGTTTAAATAATCGCAACGTATTGAAAAGGCGATAATCAAGTTTAATTTACGAAAATATGGCTTAATTTGGTAGATAAACGACTTCGCCGGCTGTAAAATGCTACAAAAGAAATGAAAAGCAACAACAACCATGACTTCACTCTTACCAAATTATCCCTGACTCACTGCATGCCCTTCAAATAATAAGAAGATTTCATGGTTAAAAATGCACACAGTCAAAACAAATAGTACAAACATGGCATTTAACAGCAAGTTTGGAATTATGATGTAAGTAGTCTTTCACCCCTGTTAGGCTTCGCAACGAAAAACTAAAACTTACTTAATTAGCTTTTAGCCAACTGCTTCTTCCTTTGGGCGCCTATACGCAAATGAGGTTCCTATGCATAACGACAAAGGGTAGCTTTCCTACCCCATAAGCTACGTACTTAAAAACCACTCGTGCTCTGACCAAAAAATAAGTAATAAATAATAAATGAAAAAGCCCAACATTTTAGAGTCTGTCGTTGATGGATTCCAGAATACAGCAAGTTCACGATCTGTACTCACAAATCCTCCGCGGAATCTTTTCCTGACATATAGACTTTCTCGGCAACATAAATCTTGGTCATGGCGAGCGAAAAAGCCAGAATCGTGGCCAAAAACTGCCAAAATATCGCCATGACATCCCAGATAATAGAGAATAGGGCGATTTGTATCGCACCCATTCCCCGCGCGCACTCTATGACTTGACCAAACGCTCTCAGTGTGAGAAACATGGCGATAAAGCCATAGAAATACCCCGACACAGCCAAAAGTCTGTTGTTTGATACGTTCGTGGAGGTTATCCATGTGATTATGCGTAACGTGAAGGTAATCAGGTATAAAACAAGAATGACGAAGTCGAGCACATTCCAACGGTCACTATAAGAGTAATAGACATCAAATGCCTTAGAAGAGCATGAATAAACATAGTTATTGCACAGATGGTATGTCATTCACATGCAAGAGAATCGGTCCTCGGATGCTCATTATATGTTGCTACATTTTTCATACAACATTGATAGTAAAATCGGTTATTACCATTACAATTGGAGCTTTAAAACTGTTTGTCTGCCGATTGTTTACTTTTTCTCTTGCTTTCTAATTTCAAAATCGTTATAGCGTGTAGCTTAAAACTTTTGAAAGTATATTCTCAATGGGAATCATCGCCAGCATTGCCATTTTCAATGTTCAGGACGTCGTCAAGGGTGAAACCCAGTTTATCACCTGGATGTACCTAAAAAAGAATATTCGGCAACCATAACGGTGTACCTAAAATAATAACAGTGACTAAAGGGTTTCTCATTTACTGCTGTGCCTAAATAAAACTATGATATGCCCATATCAGTGTGCCGAAAAGACGACTCCTGGTACACACTAGTGTTTTTAGATGACGACCTTTGGCGCATACTGGCTCACTCAACTAATGCACAGTGGCTCTTGCTGATATGGCAAAACAATGAGCGTGGACTCATATCTGCATACCAAAACCTTGAATACATATATCCTATTAGACGTTTTGTTGTGCAGTATCGCTGAGTATTTTAACGAGTCGTGCCGTATTTTAACGGGCCCGTAGGGCGAGTCAAAATACAAACAATGAGTAAAAATACTGCGCGATACTGCACAAAACTTTTAATAAGAGATTTATTATCCAACAGGCCAAATTGTTATTTAAGTGCAGGCGAGTTTCGTGGATATTCGTAGAGTACAAATATCGCGTAATACTTGTACTCGTCTCGAGCGTTATTTGTACTCTGCGAAGCACATTTGGACAATAAAGGCTCTTATTATATGGCTATGTTTCACAAGGACTGGGAACTAACGAATTCACGAATTGAATTAGCTGAAATCAATATTGAAAGCAGTCTAGATTTTCCCATCTAGACCGGC